CTAAGCCCTAAACCCTAAACCCTAAGCCCTAAGCCCTAAGCCCTAAACAGATAGGGTTCCAGGGTTCCAGTGATGAAAACGGGCGCATCGGAGCGTCGCCTCCGCCAGGTTCGACGGAAATCTCGGCGCCGCCATCGATCCTCGGAGCTGAGAACTTTTGGGGGCTTTTGGGGGGCTATTGTTTTCTTTTTTTTTTTGAGTTTGTTGAGGGGCTTGTGGGGCTTTTTAGGGGCTTTTAGGGGCGCGTGGGGCTTTTGGGGCTTCAGGTTTAGACCCTAAACCCCAAACCCTAAACCCCAAACGCCAAAACCTTAACCCTAATCATTGCTGATTTGTTCTGTTTGAAGGGTCTCAAGGAGGCGTTTCGGGTTTCGGGGGTTTGAAGTTTAGGGTGCACTCTACTGCAAAGTCTTTCAACCGGCATCTTCCGATGTTCGAGGTCTGCGTGAACTCATGATTACTATGATCACCCTACCCCCCGCGCCCCGCGAGTTGTAACTGTAGCAAGAAATCTGCCTGGAACGGTTTTCAGAGTGGCTTAGGGTCTTGCGGGGGGGGGGGGGATTCAGGGATCTAGGCCCTAAACCCAAAACCCTAAACCCAAAACCCTACACCCCAAACCCAACACGCCAAACCCTAAACCCTACTTTAGGGCCAGGAATGCCAAGGCTCGGGTAGTTCGGCATCGCGTCAAGTGACAGCCGTCTACGCCACTTCTTGCTGGGGCCGCCGCAGTGTTGCCTCCTAGAAACCCACAGCGTTCAACACCAACTCAGCAATATGCCTTGAAGCAAAATCTGTTCCTCATGTATAGCTTAAGGTATCTATATATATATATGTATATATTCATGAATCAAGGTGTGCTGGGGCTCGCTTAGCAGCTCATAGGCAAGAGTAGGTGGTGACAGAGTCTTTTGTGCGACAAGACCTTGGGACGCAAAAGGCGACCGTGGTGACTCGGAAAGATGGTGTCCAATGGTCAAGGAGGTCAAGCTCCAGCCGAAACAGCTCACCACACAAGACTTACTGTTGGTTAGTAGGGAATGGGGGAATGAGGTACCCTATATAATCCCTTAAAGGGCATGCATACATGTATATATATATATATATATATATAGTGCTTTTGCGCCCTAATTCCCTCATTCCCTGCTAACCAACAGTAAGAAGAGTAGGGGCTTGGGGGTTCTATGTCTTAAGGAGAAATATTGTTTAAACCCCTCTAAACTAAACCCTACAACCTCAGCCCCGGGTTTCTAGACCCAGGAGTAACCTAGGACAAACAAGGGAGCGGATTCTAAGGGAACCCTAAGCCCAGAAAAAGAAAATAATGGCCATATCGACACTCAAATAGTAAGACTCCCTTAGAATAAGGACCCCAACAAGGTACCCCTAAGCCTAAACCCTAAACCCTAAACCCTAAACCCTAAAAATTCGGATGATCCAAGGACTGAGTTGTTTCACAGGGTCTCAGGGTGTCTTTTCTCGGATGATCACAACGTTTACTCACAATGCCGCGACATTTAGGGTTTAGGGTTTACAGGGTATAGGGTTTAGGGTTTAGGGCTTAGGGCTTAGGGTTTAGGGCTTAGGGTTTCCCAAAATAGGGGGGGGGGGGGGGGTACCGCTGTTTATACCCCAAAACGGGATAGAATCCGCCGAAAGGGATCCCCAAAAAGGCACCCCTATTTGCGGAAACCCCAAGATGTTCTTGAAGTCGCCCCGCGCCCCCAACCCCCAATCCACCCCCCGGGTTTACAGGGTGGGGCCCCCTAGTTATAAGTAGAGTTATAAGGGCCCTCAATTGGGTTATAAGGACCCTAAGTTAGGTTATAAGTCCCTTAACTACAGTTAGTATAGTAAGGGGGCCCCACCCTGTAGAGCTTAGGTTGTTCAACAGCCTAGGAGGCATGATTACTGCAAATCCGAAGCCAGGGATGCTCATAGAAGCAGCTCGCCTTTCTCTCGCTCCCACTCCCTGCTGCCGCCACATTTCGGCTGAAATAAGAGGTCAAAAATACGAAAACACACAAAATAGCAGCTTTCATCCCACTGCGTATCGCAGGCCCGTCCTCGAGGACCAGATGAACCCTAATCGGGATCATGTTATACCCTATACTACTATAACCCTACAAAGCAAAAGCAGGAATATCCGCCCTGATAGGGTTCATTGAATCTCGAGGGTCTGGGCGAAACAACTCTCAAACAATTTCCACGCTTCCGAGGGCTTTGCGAGGAAAACCAACACCCTGGTCACCAGGGAAGTGCAACACGCTAAGCCCTAAACCCTAAACCCTAAACCCTAAACCCCTAAAACGCTAAACGCATAGGCGGCCCTTGCCACGAGCCAGCGTGTGTGCGTGTGCGCCCCTCTCGGAAAGTCTTTGAGAAAACGCCCTTTTGGGCTGCGGGCGTCGCCCTCTCACACAACCGGCTCGAGTGAGGCAAAAACTGGAGTTCCAGACAAAGCCTAGAAACCCTAAACCCTAAACTTTTAAACCCCTAAAACCCTAAAACCCTAAAACCCAAAACCCTAAAACCCTAAAACCCTAAAACCCTAAAACCCTAAAACCCTAAAACCCTAAAACCCTAAAACCCTAAAACCCTAAAATCCTAAAACCCTAAACCCTAAACCCTATGGACTGCGGGCCTTGCTTCTCTACATCTCAAGCTAGATCTCGAGGCAGGCATCCGCCACGGCGAGCGAAACCTTGGCAAGCCCAGCAACCATCTGTTCTTGTCAGGGCACCCCCTGTTTTGGGGATGGCTACTTACTCTATAAGGGTTTAGGGTTTAGGGTTGGTTGCTTACTCTACAGGGGAACCTTGAACCCACCCCCAAAAACAAAGGGGAAAGGGTACTATAGGGTCGGAATGATTACGAAAACTATTCCTCCCTGATGGTCCTTTTTTTCTCCTCTATACTATTACAACTGCTAAATGGGTCCAGGGAGTATGGGGCGAAAAAAACTTATAACTTTCCGTTGGGGGGCCGGGGGGGGGGGGGGGGGGGGGGGGGGGGCTGCCCTTTTGGGTAGCGCTTGGAGGCCTGCTGGCTCTTGCTTATGTTTTCGCGTCTGCATCTCCCAGGTCCTTGCTAAACAAAGGTTTTCCTAATAGAACATGTAATTTGTCTCCCAGGTCTTAAGCCAAGGTTTTCCTAAACCCTAAACCCTAAACCCTAAACCCTAAACCCTAAACCCTAAACCCTAAACCCTAAACCCTAAACCCTAAACCAAGGGAACATGCGATTTTTTTTAGTTGGGGGTCGAGGCGAGGCCTCAGCCCGTCTTGCGCTTGCGCTTGCACCGCCCCATGCCGATGCCACATGTCCTGCTGCCCAGGCCACGGGCCGAAGGATGGATCCGACCCGAATTCCGGGGGACACCTAAACCCTAAACCCTAAACCCTAAACCCTAAACCCTAAACCCTAAACCCTAAACCCTAAACCCTAAACCAAAGAAGCCCGCAAGATCAGACGCTTGTCAGGCCCTGCTGTCAGTCATGACATGGCAATGACAGCAACGTTGCACAGCCCGGAGAGCTGTTTAACATAGGGTTTCTGTCTTGGAGGCATGATGTCCATAACGCCACGAGTGGCGAAGCTTAAACCGTCGCAAGACTGCAGGGCCTGCAGGGCCTGAGCAATCAGGTCTTTAAGTAGAGGCTGCAGGGCTTGAAGCCTCACAGGGTCCCCTAAAAGGGGGGGGGGGGGGGGGGCAGGTCGGGCAGTTTTCCTCGAATCAAGACCTGTTCAACGCTCTAGCAAATCAGCTCAATCTTATAAAAATGTGCTGCGGTCCACTCAGGAATTGGAGTTGCAGGAGCTGCCGGCCCGAAAAACTGGATAAAATGTACTTTGCTCAAAGGTTCGTTACCAAAAAACATCGAACCGGCCCTCTTGTTTCTAGCTGAGTTGCAGTCCGAAAAACTGGATACATTTATTTTCCAAAGGTTCTATATGAAAAAAAAACAATATCCGTTTTGGGCGGAAAAACGCACGTCCAATGTTCGTTGCTTTTTACTGGTTTCGGCTTGAAAGTTGAGGTTTCTGGGACGTGCACAACAACGGATGATTTTGTTTAATATCGAACCTTTGGTAAAACATGTTTATCCAGTTTTTCGGATGGCAGCTCAGTTAAAACAAGAGGCCCAGTTCGGATATTTTTTATAACGGACCTTTGAGAAAAAATATCCAACCGAGTTCGAAGGGAAAGAACAAGTTATCCAAAACGAGTTCGGTGGAGAAAAAAATCCAAAACAAGTTTGGGGAAAACATCTCGAGGAACAGCCCTAAACCCTAAACCCTAAACCCTAAACCCTAAACCCTAACCCTAAACCCTAAACCCACAACCCCAAAACCCTAAAATATCGAGGAGAAGGTCAAGGGTCGGGGGCCGGCCTCTGGTGAAGCGCTTCCAGTACTTCTACTGCCACTTTTAGGGTTTAGGGTTTAGGGTTTAGGGTTTAGGGTTTAGGGTTTAGGGTTTAGGGTTTAGGGTTTAGGGCTTACGGTTGAGGGTTGAGGGTTTAGGGTTTAGCAAATTGTTTTTAAATAGGATTCTGTATTTGTTTAATAGGGTTCGTATTAAATTTTAAAAGGGTGCCTATAAAAGGGCGCCTATTACTTTTGTAGGATTCTTAGTAAATTCGCGAGAGATTTCCCGGGACGGGGACCCAAGTTGGGTAGATTCACTGGTTTGCTTTCTTCGTTGCTTCAGGTAGGGTTGTTTGGGTTAGGAGCCAGTTTGGGCCCAGATTTAACGAAAATGCTTGATTCTTGGCCTTGCGACAGAACGCGTGACATCTTGGACCTCGGCCGTCAAAGTCAAAGTATAAACCCTGCCCGAAGCTTCACTGGTTTGTTTTCTTCGTTTGTTTGGGTTGGGCGGCCAGTTTGGGGCTCGGATTCAAAAAAAAGTCTGATTCTTGGCCTTGCGGCTTCAGACCTTTCTCCTCAGGGTGCTTTGTGGCTTCTGCCCAGCATTCGCTAGCTGGACCGGACTACTCCATCCTTGAATTTCTTGCTTGATTCTGGAAGGTCTGGCCACAAGCCGAGATAACCCAAAAACAGCCACGGGGCACACATCCCAAAAGTATCATTTTTTGAAAAAACCATACTCCCCCCAAAAAACCAGGACCCGCGAAAATTAGCAATAATGTTGACTTGACATTAATAAAGCCCGCTACAATTATAAAATCCCGCTGCCCGGAACACAATAATGTAACCCGCCACAATTATAAAATCCCCGCCCGGAATTATTTTTTTTTCGGGCGATGTTGTGCAACTAACTTAAACTGATAAGTTTCAAGTACTACTACTACTACTACTACTACTACTACTACTACTACTACTACTACTACTACTACTACTACTACTACTACTACTAGTACTACTAGTACTACTAGTGGTACTACTACCTAATACTAAAACTAATACTACGTCCTACCAGGATTTAGGCGGATATTATTGAGGAGGCCCTGGCCGAAAAGATTGATCAATGAAGGGGGGGGGGGTTTATTAATGCGAAGTCAACATTAACAACCACCAAAACCCTATTCGAATTATTAAGGCGCCTATATTCGCCACTGGGCTACTGGGTCCAGTGTCCCCTAAACCCTAAACCGTTAACCCCTAAACCCTAAACCGCCTGAACCGTAAACCCTAAACCCTAAACCCTAAATCGCCTAAACCCTAAACCCTAAACCCAAACCCTAAACCCTAAACCCCAAAGGGGGCTACCAGGAAGCCAATCGTTGGCAGTCCGAAGGATCGCCTGCCAGGCCGCGGAGCAGACAGCCCGGCAGGGACTGGTTTTGCGCGAAGTCGCCCGCAGTTCCTTGGTTTAGGGTTTAGGGTTTAGGGTTTAGGGTTTAGGGTTTAGGGTTTAGGATTTAGGGTTTAGGGTTTAGGGTAGCCCACTCTACCCATTCTTCTGATATCAGGGTATGATAAGGCCACCATCTTGTTTGGGGGGATTGGGCTTTATGAACGGAACCTATAGAAACCACACAAACACAAAACGCAAAAAGGGTCGCACTGGGGCCTAAACCCTAAACCCTAAACCCTAAACCCTAAACCCTAAACCCTAAACCCTAAACCCTAAACCCTAAACCCTAAACCCTAAACCCTAAACCCTAAACCCTAAACCCTAAACCCTAAACCCTAAACCCTAAACCCTAAACCCTAAACCCTAAACCCTAAACCCTAAACCCTAAACCCTACCCTGAGGTTCGGTTCCGGCAGTTTCGGAGGTCGAGGCGGGCGCCGGCTGCCACCAACGCCGCCGCCCCCTCGTGCTGTGCTGCCAGCAGGGCGGCCATCCTCGGTATCCGAGGAGGTTTAGGGTTTAGGGTTTAGGGTTTAGGGTTTAGGGTTTAGGGTTTAGGGTAAAACGGGTGCCCTTTTTTGCGAAAGAAGATGGGCACCACTTGGCTGCACAAAAAAAGGGAATAAGGGCCCTACTGAACATCCGAGCATCAGTGGCGTCATGCCCGCCCAGTGGTAGAAGAAGGCCGACAAGCTGGTTCCTCGGCCGAATCTGTGTTGCAGCGACTTTACCTTGGATGGCCCTGAAAAAGCCATGACAAAAAAGGAAGCCTCCTTAAGCCCAATAAGGGAAAACTGCAACCCTAAACCCTAAACACTAGACCGTAGACCCTAGACCCTAAACCTTCAACCCTAAACGCTTCCCAGTCACGGTGACAAGCAGGAATGCGAGAGACCGGAACTGCGTCTCGTTCTGATAGTCCACATCGGCCTTGAGCTCAATGAGGCGACCCACCATTTCCTTTGTGCACTGGGGGTTTAGGGTTTAGGGTTTAGGGTTTAGGGCTAGGGTTTAGGGTTCCAGGCATGGGCCCTTCATGTGGATCCCTTGCTACATAACCCTCAAAAACACACGATGCAATCAGGGCCAGGACTTCGGATCCCGATGAGGGTAAGGGGCCATGATTACTAAGTGCCATGGTTCCACCACTTCCTTTGCAGACTAGACCGACTAGACCTTAACTCATTTATGGTGCATATATACCTTAAAAAGGGAGTATAGACAGCATATAGCAGCAGTGCGTATGCATCATCGACCGCTTCGGGCTCACCCCCCAGACCCTAAAGACCCTGGTACGCCCCGTCCGGTCTCCGAGGTTCTGCAGAGCTGCCCCCGCCGCCGGCCGCCATACACAGAGCACGCGACATGATGGAGGGTTCATGGTTGGCCCTTAACACCAGCCTCGGTTGGCCCCAACATAGGGGGGTTTAGGAACTCAATAGGGGACCCCGGAAAAATAGCACCCTGAATAGTAGGATTCCCAAAAAAGTAAGGACTCCAAGGTACAGAAAGGACCCCGAAAAAATCGTCCCCTAAATAGTATAGGATTCCCTTATGGTAAGGAGTGCTACACTGTGCAAGCTAGCAGCTCTTCCAGTGCTTCCATCGCACCGTAGCCAGCGGCAGTGCAGACGGCTGGGGTGCCAAGCAGATCCTTCGCCAGCGGGTCTGCGCCCGCGGCGCAGAGAAGGCGGATGCCTGCCGCATTGTCCGCAATGGCTGCGAAGTGCATGGCCTGGCGCAACCTAAACCCCTAAACCCTAAACCCTAAACCCTAAACCCTAAACCCTAAACCCTGGCCTGGAGAACCCCACCCTCGAGCTTGGCCCGTGCTGCGATCAGCAGGCTCGCCACATCATTCTGCTTGAAGAGCATGGCCAGGTCCAAGGCCGATGTCCATCCTTAAAGAGGGTTTAGGGTTTAGGGTTTAGGGTTTAGGGCTTAGGGTTTTAGGGTGTAGGGTTTAGGGTTAAATACGAACTCTGAAGTTGTGGGGGTCATCTACCCAATACTACTATAATTCCCATTAAGGGACTCTGATTCCTTTTTGAGGTAGTACTATAATTCCCATTAAGGTGCTATAAATTCCTAATCAAGGTCATATATATGAGCCATACACACTTAAGGCCCGATAATTCTCATTAAGGGACTATAATTCCTACTATAATTCCCATTAAGGGACTATAATTCCAATTCAGGTAATACTATAATTCCCATTAAGGTGCTATAATTCCTACAAAAATAAATAATGAGCCATCCACACTTCAGGCCCGAACTATAATTCCTAACTCAGGTATAGTATGAGCCCTAAACCCTAAACCCTAAACCCTAAACCCTAAACCCTACACCCTAAACCCTACACCCTGAGCCATACTCCCTTTTAGGCCCAAGGATCGGGGACATCCCAGGTTCGGCTGGTCTCTGGACGTGCGCCGGTTCGGTTCGGCGCGCAGCTTCAGCAAGCAGCTGACCAGATTCCTGGGGTTTAGGGTTTAGGGTTTAGGTGTTAGGGTTTAGGGTTTAGAGTTTAGGGTTTAGGGTTTCGGGTGAAGGGTTTAGGTCTTAGCGTTTAGGGAAGAAAGCGATGAAAAAGAGAAAAGCTCCGCCAAGGGCCCACCGAGTGTCGTGTTTCCACTCAGCGTGGCGTAGTGCAAGACTGACCACCCCGCGTCATCCAAGTCGCGGGGCTTCGTGAACCCGTTCTGCAGGAAGAACTCTGCCACCAGGGGGTGGTCAGCCTTGGTAGCCCAGTAACCATACCATAATAAGGGCACCCTTTTTTTTGGTTGGCTATTTTAGAAGGGAAGCCAGAACCAAAAAAGGGTAAAGGGTACCACTGGTCTACCAAGCAGCGCTCTCACAAAGGCTTGAAGCTGGAATGGGGATGAGGCCCTGTACGGGCTCTACTTTCAGGCCCCTGAAGTAGACCCCCTGCAGGTTCAGGTGCCGGCGGTACGCCGCGAAATCCCCAAGTCTCAGGCACAGGGCCAACTTCCGAAGCACGGCTTCTCCTCAGTAGCCCAGTCACCATATTAGAAAAAGGGCACCCTTTTTGAGGTTGGTTACTTTCGAAGGGACCTCTTGAACCCCCCCAAAAAAAAGGGAAAAGGGTACCCACTGGGCTACCGAGTCTCTTAGCACGGGGCCCAGCTTCTCCCGGTCCCCTTGCCTTGGTAGCCCAGTAATTTGCTTGGCTACTTTATAAGGGGATCCAGAGCCAAAAAAAAAATAAGGGTGCCCCTAAACCCTAAACCCTAAACCCTAAACCCTAAACCCTAAACCCTAAACCCTAAACCCTAAACCCTAAACCCTAAACCCTAAACCCTAAACCCTAAGCGTACCACTGGGCTCCCAAGTTGCTGAGTAAACTGGCCTTCGCCGGCCGATCCGCCGAGAAATGCCAGTGCGGAGCCCACCACCTCACCATGGGTACCCCCACTACCCCCCTAAACCCTAAACCCTAAACCCTAAACCCTAAACCCTAAACAGTAAACCCTAAGCCCTAAGCCCTAAGCCCTAAGCCCTAAGCCCTAAGCCCTAAGCCCTAAACCCTAAACCCTAAACCCTAAACCCTAAACCCTAAACCCAAACCCTAAACCCATGACCTCCAGGGAAGTCTCGCTCTTGATGAGAATCCAGGTCTCGTCCCGGGAAAGCTCCCGGAGTGCTCTCCTTTTGGGGTTTAGGGTTTAGGGTTTAGGGTTTAGGGTAACCATATTCTAATAAGGGAAGCCTGTCTGGGGTTGGTGTCTCTATAAGAGAGCCGTGCACTAAAAACAACGGAAAAGGGTGAAACTGGGCGAACAAGTCTCTCAAAACGGCACCAAGCGCGCTGAGTCCAGCTGGCAGGTGTCAGAACCTGGGCGGACCAACACGAACGCTAAGAATCGGGTTTAGGTTTAGGGTTTAGGGTTCAGGGTTCAGGGTTTAGGGCTTAGGGTTTGATCCTACGCCCTGCATAAGGACAGTCAGTAGGCTGCCCACTACAACGTAGCATAAACAAAGGTGCCCTTGATTTTGCTTGCAGGGGCTTCTAAGGGAACCCAAACATCCCCCCCCGCCCCCCACAAACAAAAAACATGGCACTACTGGGCATCCTAGCCCTAAACCCTAAACCCTAAACCCTAAACCCTAAACCCTAAACCCTAAACCCTAAACCCTAAACCCTAAACCCTAAACCCTAAACCCTAACCCTCAACAAGCCTTTTAGAGTTCATCCTCGGGGACCTTCCCATCGCTGGTGTCGATGACAGGGCAGAGGCCGAAAAAGAAGGAGCACCTCGACGGTTTAGGGTTTAGGGTTTAGGGTTTAGGGTTTAGGGTTTAGAGTTTAGGGTTTAGGGTTTAGGGTTTAGGGTTTGGGTTTAGGGTTTCGGGCTTAGGGTCCATACATCCCCTTGGTAGCCCAGTAGCCATCTCAGAAATAAGCTGGTTTTGGTTGATTACTTCATAAGGGAATTACCCTTTTGAAGCCCTCAACCCTTATTCCTTTTGGTTCTAAGGCACCGGGCGATGTAGCCTGGGATGCTGTGGATGGCCTGGCGCAGGTCACCGGCGGTGCAGGCATCGCTGCGGCCCGCACACTCCATCTGCGGGCAGGAGATGTAGTCGTACCAGAAAAACACCGGCTGGGATCGGAACCTGGATGACCACTTGAACCCCCCCCCAAAAAAAAAACAATTCAAAAATAAAACATGGGGGGTTTGGGGTTTGGGGTTTGGGGCCAAAGTTTAGGGCTTGGGTTTAGATATTACAATAAGGGTATTGATTACTTTAGAAGGGAACCTTGAACCAACAAAAAGGGAGACGGGTACCACTGGGCTACTAGGGATCATTCAACCCCATGCTAAGCCCATGTTACTAAATTCCCCTTATGAGAAAAAAAAGGGACCGCACAGCCGTTTTAGGGCTCAGTTCGTCCGCCAAGGAACTCGTGCAATGGAAGGCACTGGGCAGTGGGTACGAGAGCTTCAGTGACAGGGTCCAGCGGGATAAAACCCAAACCGCCCAGCATATGCCTGGGGTGGATTTGGGCACTTTGTCTTGGTAGCCCAGTAACCATGTTATAATAAGGGAGCCCGTTTTGGGTTTGGTTACTTCAAAGGGAACCTTGAATCCACAAAAAGGGAGAAGGGTACCACTGGGCTAAAGTTATACTGGTTGTTTTACAGGGTTTCGGGCCGGTCCCCATGAACTCGAAAAACCTACTTATCCAATAACCAAGGAATAAACACAACGTTTAAATAAGGGAGCCCAAAAGGTTTCAAGAGTTCAGTGATCAGCTAACGAAGATAAGTCTACCCTAAACCCTAACACCCTAACACCCGAGCACCCTCACACCCTAAACCTTTCCAGAAACAGCCGGAGCTGCCTCAAGGCACCCTGCAGGACCCGGAACTGCTTGAGCTCGGGGTCTGGGTGGTGCTTGGCGGCCCACCTAGTTTATGGTTGGGAAAATATTGAAAAGTTAAGTTTCTATTCCTTATTGGGCTTACGTACCTTAAAAAACGTAAAATGTTACCCTATTAAAAAGTTAAGTTTCTATTCCTTATTCTGGGTTTACGTACCTTTAACTAACAAATGTAAAATGTTACCCCAACCATGGCAAAGCCACTGGTGTGAGACGAAAGCGGCCTTGCCCATGCTGGCGCTGAACACCACGATGTCTCCCCTGGCCTGTCGGAGGGTTTAGGGGTTTAGGGTTTAGGGTTTAGGGTTTAGGGTTTAGGGTTTAGGGTGTTCGGGTTGGAGGGTTTTAAGGTTCAGAAAGAAGGGATGGATGTAGGGCAACAATAAGATCTAGCGGGCTAGAACCTCATTTTTTCGGGTACTGCAAGCACCTACTAGGTGGTTTAGGGTTTAGGGTTTAGGGTTTAGGGTTTAGGGTTTTATTCATGAACCTCCAAGTCTAAGTATGCCCGAGATTTTCGATTGCAACCATCCATTAGGATCCCCCCCCCCCCCCGCCCCACACCCTGCACGCCCACCCTTGGGCAAACACCCCAAGAGCAGGACCCTGAGACATAACCCTGAACCCCTGAACCCTAAACCCTGAGCCCTAAACACAAACCCTGAACCCTAAACCCTAAACTAGACCTAAAACGCTAAGAGAGAATCATCCGCACGCCTTTGCGGCGGACTTCCGCATGTTGGGGTTTAGGGTTGAGGAGTGGGCTAGTGGGACTCCGATTCGAGGACACTCCCCGAGATGAATCATCAAGAAAGAACAAGGGCTTTCGGAATTCCCTAAACCCTAAGCCCTAAGCCCTAAGCCCGAAGCCCTAAACCGACCTTGAGCACTTCGTGCGGTTCGATCACGGTCATCTGCAGCAGGCGTTCGGAAGGCATGGTGTACATCGGGAAAAGCATGTGAGCAGCCTCAGGCAAAGGAATCCATAGGCTGCTTCTAGCCCAAACCCTAGGGTCTAGGGTTTAGGGTTTAGGGTTTAGGGTTTAGGGTTTGGGGTTTCGGGTTTAGGGGTTAGGGGTTCGGGTTTAGGGACGTACACCCTAACGATTTTGGGTCCGTCAAGACGAGCTTTGAGAGGTGCAGCACGTTGGTGCTTCGGGCATGTGAGCTAGGGGGGTTCAGGATTAGGGTTTCGGGTTTCGGGTTTAGGGTCCCTGAGCCCGAGCACCTCGCTAGTGAAACTGTGACTTGCCGCGGCTGATCCGGCATAGAGCTCGAGGGTAGTGGGGGACCGACCGGAGCGGCAGCACGCCATGGCAACCGCGGCACTCCTTCAAGACCTCCCAGACCCAAGAGTAGCCCAGGAATAGAGAGGGTGCGCCCTGTTTGGTTTCAAGGGGGCTATTTAAGGGGAACCTAAGGCCTAAACAACAGCGAATAGGGCCCCTAGTCTGGGCCCTGGTGATAGGGTTTAGGGTTTAGGGTTTAGGGTTTAGGGTTTAGGGTTTTCAACAAACTAGGCTTCGCAAATTCTACAGTGGCGAACGCGGGCATTCGACACCTCTTGATACACTGAGCTCTTGAGACGACACGTAAGGGGACGACCTTCGGGTAGTTTTGAGGGGGTCGTAGGGGAACCCATGACAACACTTATCGACTCCCTCTGAACAAAAGAACCCTGAACCCTGAACCCTGAACGCTGAACCCTAAACCCTAAACACAACAGGGCTCTGTAGGTACGACGACCTTGCCACTGTAAATGCAGGATAGGGTTGAGCTTGGAAGTCTCAGCTTCAGGGTTCATCCCCTTGCTAAACCCTAAACCCTAAACCCTAAATTACTAAACCCTAAACCTAAGCCCAATTACAGGGGTGACATGGTGCTTTCGACACCTCTGGAGACTCCTCCAGACGGCGCGGCAGCGTGTGCACCGAGTGGGCGTTCGGATTCTGGCTCGAAAAACTGAAAGGGGTTGAGGGTGTAGGGTTTAAGGGATTTGGGGTTTAGGGTTTAGGGTTGAGGGTGTGGGGTTTTAAGGGTTTATAAGTCTAAATGGCCACATGAGGAGATGCTACGGCTTTACATAACCCAAAGCCTGCACGGTTGCACCATCGACCAGGGCACCTCGAACGCGAGCCGGCGTACAGGCTCTCCTGAACCTAAACCCTAAACCCTAAACCCTAAACCCTAAACCCTAAACCCTAAAACCCTAAACCCTGCTCTCCTTTTCCACAGCGAAAGATAAGCCTGAGTCGGCCGCCGCTCCTAGACGCCACCACCAAAGGGTCTCGCAGCTTTAGAACTTATGGACTTGATGGAATTCGTATGGATTCTAAGGGCTTGCACTAGGGTGTGTGGGGCTTTTTTGGGTTCTACTTCTGCGGCTATAGAGGTCATAGGGTTTGTAGGTTTATAGGGCTTGTAGGGTTTATCGAAGTGCTGCTAGACCTCGTGCCAGGCGGTTATGTACAGAACGGACTGAGCACCGCCCTTTCCAGTCCGATGAGGGAGAAAACTCGATCAGGCAAAGACCGATCTGCACCCGAAACCCTGAACCCTAAACCCTGAACCCTAAATCCTAAACCCTGAACCCGAAACCCTGAACCCTAAACCCTGAACCCGAAACCCTGAACCCTGAACCCGAAACCCTGAACCCTGAACCCTAAAAACCCAAACCCCAAACCCTAAACCCCAAACCCTGAACCCTAAACCCTAAACCCTACAAACCCTAACCCCAAACCCTGAACCCTAAACCCTAAACCCTAAACCCCAAACCCTAGGGTGCCACGGAGCCTCGCTCACTTCTGGCGTTATGAGCTCACACATCATGCGCTAAGCCCACTGGAGCCCGGTGCAACGGTTTAGGGTTTAGGGTTTAGGGTTTAGGGCTTAGGGTTTCGGGTTCAGGGGCCTTCACCAGAAATCTCATCTTAGGGCCGTTACAACCTGAAACCCTAAACCCGGAACCCTAACACCCTAAACCCTAAAACCCTAAAACCCTAAACCCTAAACCCTAAACCCTAAACCCTAAACCCTAAACCCTAAAACCGGCAACCAGACCAAGGCCTGTGCAGATCATGAGCCGCGATCACGGAAGCTTAATGGCTGTCCCCAGGGCATCCCCCCTTTCGAGTTCAGAGGGTCCATGGTAGTAAGTTGTAGTACCCCCCCTAGGTTCAGGGTTTAGGGTTTAGGGTTTAGGGTTTAGGGTCTAGGGTTTAGGGTCTAGGGTCTAGGGTTCAGGGTTTAGGGTTTAGGGTTTAGGGTTTAGGGTTTAGGGTTTAGGGACCTTCCAGAGGCCCATGCTACACCAGGCTTTTAGCACCTAGCTTCGTCAGGGTTCTGGACATGGACCCTCTGAGCGAGTCCAGAAAATAATCGGAACTCCTATGTCAAGTGGATCATGGGTTCCCCTACTAACCCCCCCCTTAGGGAGAATTAAGCCTAAAAGAGGATTACTTCAAGGGGCGGAGCTAGGGGGTAGTACAGAGGGGGGTTGTAGGGGAACCTATGAGTGAAAGGGTGCTGGGCAACGACTTGGCAGCCCAGTAAACATCTCATAAGAAGGGTACCCGTTCTTTTTGGGTCTCGGGTTTAGGGTTTAGGTCTTTTTTGGGTTTAGGGTTTAGGGTTTGAACCAAAAAAAGGGAAAAGGGTACCGCTGGGCTACCCAAGACGAAGAAACAGCTAAAGACTATGCACAGTGGCAGCTGCTTCGAGCTGCGCTGATGTGAACTGAACCAAACCAACACGCCGCAAACTTCAAAGACCCCAACACTACGATACAAAATCTGAAGCCTTATGGGGCCCTAAACCTGCACCGCACAAGAGCTCCTCAATCAGGGGCTGATCGTCCGTCACTCTTCCATCCTAAGTTTTGAGCCTTCTCGCACCTAGGACGGATGAGAAATCCAGAGCCTCAACCCAAAACCCTAAACCCTAAACCCTAAACCCTTCACATCACGCGCAGCACTCCCTCATTTGGAGATCGGCAGTAGGGACCTGTTCTTTCAGTTCAGGGCTCCGAGAGTGGACCAGCGTTCTACAAGGAGGGTTTAGGGTTTAGGGTTTAGGGTTTAGGGTTTAGGGTTTAAGGACGGTTTAGGGTTTAGGGCGTTTGGTGTATACGGTTTAGGGTACTTGCAAGTAGGGTTTAGGGTTTAGGGCGTTTGGGGTTTAGGGCTTAGCATTTAGGGCGTTTAGGGTTCAAAGTTTAGGGTTTAGGGCGTTTAGTGTTGAGGGTTTAGGGATTGAGCTGGTGCTAAAACATCTTCTTGGGGGAGAAAGTGTGTTGACGACCTGGGGACAACCAGGCTGGCCGTGGTTTTTGGGTATCCTGGAAAACTGGGGTTTAGGGTTTAGGGTTTAGGGTTTAGGGTTAGGGTTTAGGGCTTAGGGTTTAGGGTTTAGGGTCTAGGGTTTGGGTGCTATGTAGGGTTATTGTATAGGGGACTAAAAGCTCAAAGGGCCCATCGCACTTTAAATACATCTTCCGAATGGACCGCCTGCAGGGTCCATTGTTTAGGGTTTAGGGTTTAGGGTTTAGGGTTTAGGGTTTAGGGTTTAGGGCAATTCAGATGACTGACTCAGAACAGCATGCTGCTTGCTGTCTCGTCTCCTTGTTCTGGCAATTAGTGTAACTAAATGCCCTGATGCACCGTCCTCTCCAGGAAACCTGGGGAGGGGGGGGAGGGGTACCCCAAGCAAAAATGTGCCAAATAAACGGGCAAACAATTCCTAACCCTAAACCCGAAACCCTAAACCCTCAACTGCCCTAAACCCTGAACCCTATCCCCTAAACCCTAAACCCTAAACCCCAATTCCCTTGTCAGCAACTCAGGCTGGTTCTTGACGGCCCCTTTGGGCATGGCCCCCTTTGGGCATGGCACTACTTCCATGATGCAAGCTAAACCCTAAACCCAGAACCCTGAACCCTATACCCCTAAACCCTAAACCCTAAACCCTACTCATAAGTACCCATGAAGCTTCAAGTAGCTACTGTAAGCACCGAAAAAACCCGAAACCGTCTTCTTGACGAAGACTTTTTGGACGTGGGATCTGTTGGCAGCCAAGCCACACTCTCGCACCTCAGCGAACAGGCTTTAGGGTTTAGGGTTTAGGGATTAATTAGGGTTTAGGGTTTAGGGTTTAGGGTTTGGGGTTTGGGGTTTGGGGTTTGGGGTTTGGGATTTAGGGTTTAGGGTTTAGGGTTTAGGGTTTAGGGTGACACTACGCAGCTGCCTCAACGCAAGCCTCAGGGCAGCCCTGGAGTCACCTGAAGTCATTATAGGCTTCTTAAGGGAGGATGGTTTAGGGTTTAGGGTTTAGGATTTAGGGTTTAGGGTTTAGGGTTTGGGATTTAGGGTTTAGGGTTTAGGAGGAGGGAGGGTTTCAAGGGGTGTATGTAACCCAATCTTCCCTAATGCTCCCCACTAATTACTCCCTAAGGCTAAGGCTCCCTAAGCTTCCCGAAGGTTCCCTTGGTACCTACCCCCCCCCTTGAAGCCCCCTCCCTTAAGAACCCTATAAAGTCAAGACCCGAGTGCGCTGCTTTGAGTGCGCAAGCTTCACAAATGACCTGAGCCCAGTCATTGTTTTCATTGTTTATGTGTTGGGGGGGGAGTTGGGGTTTGGAGTTTGGGGTTCTGGTTTGGGGTTAGGGGTTTGGGGTTTTGGGGCTTTAGGGCTTTAGGGCTTTAGGGCTTTAGGGCTTTAGGGTTAAGGGTTAAGGGTTGAGGTGGGGGGGGGGGTCCTTATAATAAGGCGACCCCTCTAATAAGGACCATCATTTAGGAGGGCGGCTTGGATACGTACAGGGTGGGGCCCCCGAGTTGGCCCTAAATTGGGTTATAAGGACCCTAAGTTAGGTTATAAGTCCCTTAACTACAGTTAGTATAGTAAGGGGGACCATAAACCCTAAACCCTAAACCCGAAACCCTAAACCCTAAACCCTAAACCCTAAACCCTAAACGATACGCACCCCCACGGAACATGCCTTCTGTAAACGTGGCCAGCTGGTCCTCTGCTTCTCAGCCTACGGGCCCAACAAAACCGAAGCAGCGCCTTCGTGCAGATTTGTGTCGGGTTTAGGGTTTAGGGTTTAGGGTTTAGGGTTTAGGGTTTAGGGTTTAGGGTTTAGGGTTTAGGGCTTAGGGCTTAGGGCTTTAGGGCTTAGGGTTTAGGGTTTAGGGCTTTAGGGCTTTAGGGTTTAGGGTTTAGGGTTTGGGGCTTTTAGGGTTCAAGGTTTCCGACTTGCTCACGCAAGCGACGGTCTCAGGACAACCCACACCGTCAGCGTCTGTTGCCACCGTTGAA